TCAACAGAAACCTTCGAAGGTGTTCAGTATCAACAGTAGCCTTTAGTGGTGTTCATTATCAACAGCAACCTTAGGTGGTGTTCGATATCAGCAGTAACCTTTGGTGGTGTTCAATATCAAAAGTAACCTTTGGTGGTGTTCGATATCAACAGCAACCTTTGGTGATGTTCAGTATCAACAGTGACATTTGGTGGTGTTCACTGGGAACAGTAGCCTTTGGTAGCGCCCTAACGCCAAGCGATGCTGGGATTATCGGGGACAGGAAAAGTCTGCAAGAGTGTTTGCAATTTGCTGTTTGGGGTACAGGCTTCGCAGCACTATCTGTATTTACATACCTCACTTATTGATGTTCAAGGTACGATCCTCGTCAATCCAAGGATTAGTCTAATCCGCCCATTCTTTTCAAAAATGCCACCCTAACTGTTCAACGCACTGTGATGAATATGTGGCCAGCTGAGACTGCGGCCCTCGTGAACCATTCGCTCACTGCCTAGATAATCATTCTGAAACCTCTGAATGGCCAGTTCAGACATACTGGTGAGGTTTACACAGTTTGGGGATTTTTTCTCTCGTTGGATGCGATATTAGGCTTCTTATGTTTAGAGCGCTCTCTTAAGAATGTAAAAGACAGTGGAAAATGAATAAGGTCAACCAAATAAGTGTAAGGCGAAAGCTATTGCACAGAGTACCATTAGAAATATGCATATATAGTGCATTGTCTGATGTTGCATTGTGTTACACACATCGCATCACACATTCAGTATAAAGAAGGGTGAGCCTCACACTTTATCAGAATACATTACCAATATGCTTATAAATGATAGAAATAATGTATCCGAACCATGCTTTCATGGACCCAATGGGCTAAGTTGAGGTCAAACTGGGTTCCTCACCAACAGTCAGTAATGGGTCAGAGCCTTAAAAGAAACTTGCAAATGAGCTAAAATCTCCGCAAGGTTAACACCTAGACAATACAAAAACAGCTTTCACATACTTGCTTGGTGAAGCATTCGTTGAGGAATTGTGATATATATCAAAAGCTTCGAGCAGTGGGTATACTTTCCTGGCCGATAACAATTAAGTCAGAAATAAATCGAAATAATTCAAACACACTGGTACGACCCACTAAACCATAGGCAATCTAGGACGGGACGTGTTCAGCCACGATGACGTCATTCAACGAATAATTTTCCCTGTGATATTCATCTCTGAATATTTTTTTATTTCCCATCCACCGGTCCCGAAGTCATCGCTCAGTTTTCTCATGGGCGCACCACACATATCAATTAGGCGTAGTCTAAAAAAGGTTCCTTGCCTTGACTTAGCTCTGAACATTGTCCAAAATTCCCACTCGGCCTGAAAAATTACAAGCAGTAGTTCTTAGTGTCGGCAGTGCCTACTGCGACTGAAAAAGTGCTAGATTGTTAATTCCCCAAGAGTGGCTGTTGGCTGGACGCAGCGCGCACTTCAGCGCACCGTCAATGCTGACGAGTTCCCTCTGCGATGTACTACTATGTACGGTAGCCGTCCTAGATTTTAGTGACGGCTTCCCTTTTATATCGTTGGCGTTCGGTGGCGCACAACGCTTGTATATGGCCGCATGACGCGGGGTCTGAAATATATACGAAGAGCTTGAGTAGAGTACATGGTGTCTAAGACCAATTACTGATAAATAAGACTCGGAAACAGTGCCACAACCACAGCGGAAGATCATTCGCTGGCGCTAACGATACGTTCGCGATAAGAGCAGCAAATCGGCGGTGAAAAAGCTTTGAGGTCACCCGATAACTTTGTGCTGCCAGCAGGAACTTCGGCACTTGAAGTATTTGATAAATGAAAGCGGATTGGTAGAAACAAGGGGTACCAATCGACTGTAAATCGAATTTCCCTTCCATCTTGGGTGCACAATGAAAAATTCTGATCTGACTTAGCACACTCTTCAAGAGTCATTAACAACGCTATAGCTCGCGTATGCACAGACGTAGCAGGTTTTTAGCTTGTATCACCTACCAGTAGATAGAGGCCCTACTGGTTCCGTCATTGTTCGATCGCAGGCCATTACTATAGTACAAAATAACGCATAACAAGGATGTGAAAAATGCCTACCCATAAGCTGTCCCCGCCGCTGCAGTTCATGGAGATCGGCCTGGTGCAGTCTGGTAGGACCGTGCAGTACGAGTGACCGCAAGTCTGCCGCCGCTCACGGCACCGGCCGGCGGCGATGAAGGCTGCTGCAAACATCAGCTGGCTGAGCATGACGCTGTGCGCACGCAACATGGCAGGAGTCCGTGGTGGGTCCGACCTCTCGGTTGTCCGTCTGCTGGTGACCTTGAGCCTCTCGCCGACTGCTGACTGTTGACCCGGGCTGCGTGGGCGTTCGCTCCCTGGACGGCTGGTGACCGGCGTCCTGGAGTCTGTGTGTCACGGGTCGGGCAGTTCGGGCGTCACCAAGTGTGCCCGACTGACCGTCGCACACACCCGCCGCGTCCTGCCTGCGCCGGGGGCGGCTCGGCCTCACTGGAGCCTGGAGCTGAGCGGCCGGGCCGGAGCAGGACGTGCGATAGCACCCTGCCTCCGGCGCGGCAGCCTCATATCCGTGGTGAATCAACGCCGGTCGGTCACCGCCGTCATGCCGACCCCGCCGTGTTGACCCCTGCTCCTTGCAGACCTGGCTACCCGGGGAGGCCCCCGGATCGAGATAAAAAAGGCCGCCGCGAATATGTAAACTTCCTGCTCCTTGGACCAGGGAGGGAGCGCCGAATGAAATGGGGTCCAGAAGATGAGTCAGGTGTGAGCGATTGTGATGAACTGTTTTGTGTCCTCTAAAGGAATATTTTTTAAAAGGTTTTTAGTACTCCTTCGCCGAAGGAGCACATCCAAGCTTGCAGCAGGGTGGGGGGCAAACAATTGTGGTGCTCGTCGAAAATGAACGTTTCGGACCTCTTAATGGCCCGCTTGGATTTGGTGCCCCTTAGGAAAAGTAATGACGCCTCGAAATGAGCGCTTTGGTGCCCCCCTTACGACAGTCCCACTCACAGATTTCGTCAAAATAGGGACCGAAAATAGGGACGTCGCGGCATCCCCTGGAAATTATCATTTAACACGAAGGGTTTGGGCTCCGACAGTCACTGATATTGCGGTGCCCCTGGAATTCGGTGACTCGAAAAAATTGGGGGCCCAAAGTGGTGAAAATAGCGGCTATGCGGCTACGAAATGAAGGACTCCGTGCCCTTTGATCATCAAATTTTGGAGGTTCTCCGGGGCACCAAAACTACATGGGGAGGGGGGGGGGGCGCTGCCCTCCACTCTGGATCCGCTCTTGATGCATGAATCACGTGGTAAAAACTGCGCTACGGCACGCCCGAATTCCGAGTCGAGGGCTGAGCCACCGACCGTGCGCCGCATGGCCCTGCATGACAGCCGGCGCCGCTCCCACACGCCCTCTGACCTGCTCGCCGGCAGACGTGTGCGACCTGCTCCCGGCTGATCGCGCCGGGGGTCAGCATGGGTGACCACATGTTCTGGCACATGTTCTGGCGCGCCAGGCCCAGTGTTTCCACTGCTTTACTTGCCGCACTGGCCTCGTCGACTCCAACTTCATCTGCGCCAACAGCGAAGTGTTCTGCAGCTCTGCCTGCGCCAGCGCCCCCACAGCGACTCCTAGGGGTCATCTGCTAGGAGTGGCTCCCAGGGGTCACCTGCTCGGAGCGGCTCCCAGGGGTCACCTGCTCGGAGCGGCTCCCAGGGGTCACCTGCTCGGAGCGGCTCCCAGGGGTCACCTGCTCGGAGCGGCTCCCATGGGGTTCACGTGCACGGGGTGTCTCTCAGGGGGGCTACCTGCTCGGAGCGGCTCCCAGGGGTCACCTGCTCGGAGCGGCTCCCAAGGGAGTCATCTGCTTGGGGCGGCTCCCAAGGGGGTCATCTGCTCGGTGCGGCTCCCAGGGGTCACCTGCTCAGTGCGGCTCCCAAGGGGGGTCATCTGCTTGGAGCGGCTCCCAGGGGTCACCTGCTCGGTGCGGCTCCCAGGGGTCACCTGCTCGGAGCGGCTCCAATGGGAGTCACCTGCTCGGAGCGGTCTCGGTTGACGACCGTCGCGTGTTCCAGTGATCCCCAGTGACGACCGTCGCGTGCTCCGGGGCGGTCCCGGTGGCGCGTGTCGCCTGCTCTTGAACGGTTTTGAGGGTTGTGCCCTTTGGATAATCCCAGCGCGCGCGTCATAATGTTCGAGCGCTCAATGCTGGTGGTGAGCGTCGAGCCCTCCAGGAAGATGGTATAGGTACACGGCTGAGGGATCTGGTACGGGAGAGAGAGGCTGAGGTGCTTAAAAGGCTGGTATCCTCCCACCTCTCCACTGAACACAGTGAATACATGTTTACAATACTCAAACATGTGAGATGACGTAGCGTGCGTGCGAGTGGCTCCGAAAACAGCGGCATCCACCTGCCATGTTTATTTACAATGCCTCGGTATGCATTAAATACAACGCGGTGACAACAAACGCCAAACAGCTCCAGAAGGCCTCCACACCAGTGCGTGCCCAGTAGGCCCCCACGCCAGTGCGTGCCCAGTAGGTCCCCACGCCGGTGCGTGCCCAGTAGGCCCCCACGCCAGTGCGTGCCCAGTAGGCCCCACGCCGGGTGCGTGCCCAGTAGGCCCCCACGCCAGTGCGTGCCCAGTAGGCCCCACGCCGGTGCGTGCCCAGTAGGCCCCACGCCGGTGCGTGCCCAGTAGGCCCCCACCGGTGCGTGCCCAGTAGGCCCCCACGCCGGTGCGTGCCCAGTAGGCCCCACGCCGGTTGCGTGCCCAGTAGGCCCCACGCCGGTGCGTGCCCAGTAGGCCCCACGCCGGTGCGTGCCCAGTAGGCCTCCACACCAGTGCGTGCCCAGTAGGCCTCCACCGGTGCGTGCCAGTAGGCCCCACGCCGGTGCGTGCCCAGTAGGCCCCACGCCGGTGCACGCGGGCGCTCCCGGTTACACAGAGAAACATGATGGGTGGCACGACACTGAGGCGCCACTCGCCACAGCTGCCATACCGCGTCTCGCGCCGGCCAGCTCAGGCTGGCGAGCGCATGGCCAGCATGGTGTTGACGTCCCAGACCATGTTACGCAGCTGGTCGATGACCTCCTTGAGGTAACGGTTGCGCAGCTGCACCTGCTGTCGACGGGGAGAGGACGGGTTCAGCGACCCGACTGGCACTTGCAGATGAGTGCCACTGTTACGGTTATTAGCTTACGTTCAGGAATTCAATCGGAGCCATTCATGGTCGTTAAGGTTTGGATGACATCAAAAAAATAAATAATACTTCTGTTCAAGCTGTAACATTTTCTCGCACAACACAACTACAACTACTAACACAACTACGCTAAACGCATGATGTGATAGGTCCAACCCGCCATCTACATACCTCCTTCACTTCGTTGTATTCTTCCATGGCCAGCCGGTATTGTTCGGAGTTTTTCTTTTCGTCCAGTTTGCTGTCCGGTTCATCCTTGTACGGAATCAATCCCTACCGGACGAAAAAGGGGTGGGGGGTGGGGGGTCAGATCCTACCAGTCGCCATCATCGGTAGCGACGTGCATAGCGCAAGCCGCATGTTTAGCCACAGCGGGGGGAGGGAGGCTCGGAGGCTGCCCGGAATGGCTGAGGACGCCAGCCGCCGGCATCGACGACGGACGGGCGCCGACGCTCTCCACCAGCGCCGGTCGTATTTAGCGAGAGCGCCGCCATCCTCCGCGAGAGCCCCACCGTTCTCCGCCAGAGACCGGCCGTTCTCCGAGAGACCCCCACCGTTTCAGCCAGAGACCGGCCGTTTCCGAGAGAGCACCGCCATCCTCAGCCAGAGACCGGCCGTTCTCCGCGAGGCCACCGCCATCCTCCACGAGAGCACCGCCACCCTCACCCAGAGACCGGCCGTTCTCCGCGAGAGCACCGCCATCCTCAGCCAGAGACCAGCCGTTTCCGCGAGAGCACCGCCACCCTCAGCCAGAGACCGGCCGTTCTCCGCGAGAGCACCGCCATCCTCAGCCAGAGACCGGCCGTTCTCCGCGAGAGCACCGCCACCCTCAGCCAGCGAGACCGGCCGTTCTCCGCGAGAGCACCGCCATCCTCAGCCAGAGACCGGCCGTTCTCGCGAGAGCACCGCCATCCTCAGCCAGAGACCGGCCGTTCTCCGCGAGAGCACCGCCACCCTCAGCCAGAGACCGGCCGTTCTCCGCGAGAGCACCGCCATCCTCAGCCAGAGACCGGCCGCTCCCCGCTGAGAGCACCGCCATCCTCAGCCAGAGACCGGCCGTTCTCCGCGAGAGCACCCGCCACCCTCAGCCAGAGACCGGCCGTTCTCCGCGAGAGCACCTGCCATCCTCAGCGAGGAGACCGGCCGTTCTCCGCGAGAGCACCGCCCACCCTCAGCCAGAGACCGGCCGTTCTCCGCGAGAGCCACCGCCATCCTCCACGAGAGCGCCGCCACCCTCACCAGAGACCGGCCGTTCTCCGCGAGAGCACCGCCATCCTCAGCCAGAGACCGGCCGTTCTCCGCGAGAGCACCGCCACCCTCACCCAGAGACCGGCCGTTCTCCGCGAGAGCACTGCCATCCTCAGCCAGAGACCGGCCGTTCTCCGCGAGAGCCACCGCCATTCTCCGCGAGAGCACGCCGCTGTTCTCCGCGAGAGCCCCTCTTACCCTGAACTACCAGATACTCGGTAAGTGGTATGGTGTTCTGTACACCGTCCCTGCGAATGATCTTCGATGCCTATTTCCTGACAGGGGGGTCGCGGAGATGCTAGGCCCCCGCCAAAGTGACCGGTCGTGGTCGAGTCCGGCGCCCCCCCCCCCCCCCCCCATTGACACCCATTGCCGTGGCTTCTAGCCAATGTCGCACTGGGACAGTGTCTGGCAGGCCGGTTACCCGCGTGCGGAGACGACACGGGGCATCCACAGGCTGGCAAATCCCGGCCAAAGGTAAGTGTTGGTGGCCGCCCATACTAACCCGCAAGGCGGCCACCTCAACACTTAGGACCCATTCATCGCTCCTGTGGGAACACAACGGGGCACAGAAACCCTGCTGAGATCGAAAGCTGGGGCCCAGGAGGTGCTCACCGCTGCTCTGGCCGAAGGCAAGGCCCCTCGCGGGAGGCACGGCTGATCTGGCTCCTTCCCTTTGACCGGAAGGGGGCGCTTTATGAGCCTCCCCGCCCGCTCCGCCCGCAGGACCGTTGGATCACGCAGCTCCCCCCCCCCCCCCCCCATCATCACCGCGGAAGGTGGTGCCTTACGGTGGCGGGGGGAGGGGCCGTCCTCAGCCAGAGCCCCGCCGCAATCAGGGGGAGGAGGGGGCGCCGTCCATGGCCAGAGCCCCGCCGCCACCGGGTGAGGGGAGGGGAAGGGGGGGGGGGGGCGCCGTCCTCAGCCAGAGCCCCGCCGCCGCCGGGCCACTCACGTCCATGGGCGTGAACTCGAGGCCGGCGCAGCAGGCAGAGATGCGCTCGTGGAAGATGCGAAGCCGGTGGAACAGGGTGCGGATGCTCTGCAGCAGCTGTTTGATCTTGCCCTGCTTGTCGGCGCTGTTGTTGGCGCCCTGTGCGGTGCCGTTCGGGGGCTGGGAGAGCACACCGCAGTGGAGTGAGCAGCGGCCGGCGGTCGGCGCGGCACCGGCGGCCGATGGTGCTGGCGCACCATCAGCGACAGCTCGAGGGAGCCACAGACGCACCGATGGGGACGGCCAGCAGCACCAACGGCACGCGCGCAGAAGGGTATCACAGAACAACGCCTGAAAATACGGTGGCTGCTCAGGGCTAGTCTGGTTCCCCAGCTCAAGGGAAGTTCGCTGTTTTCAGCCATTTCAGCTGATAGAGGGCCAGCAAGGCGTTACAAAAGTGGACATCAACGTTGGCGTAGACACCTTAAACAAAGTCCTTCGTACTCTAATACCATGCCGATAACGTTTCCTTCATTTACCCTAGCATCAGGTGCGTCACTTGGCCGAAAAGTTTTTTTTTGGGGGGGGGAAGGCAGAAAAGGCAGTGGTGCCTGGAGATGGATATGTGCCAAACTGAGCCAGGATGGATATCAAAGGAATCCTCGCGACGAACGTTACTCAAGGGCGCGTATGTAACGCGATGCGAGCGCATTCGACCCATTTAACCTACGTCGGCGTTAATTCGACCTTTCTATGCTCTGCTTGACCTCGACCAAGAGCACTGAAAATGGTAGCCACCTGAGCTAAAAGCATGTCCCAAAGAAACTTTCCCGTTACACCGTACTTCATGAAATAATTGTAATAAACACACGTTGTACGTCGGTACACATCCATGGGTTGTCCAGCGGGCGCCCGTAAATGTGCTCATCTTCTGCCAGTGAGCTGCCAACTTCCGCAGAAGCCACTGCAGCTGGTCCGTGTTACGTTTTCAATGCCCGCGAAGATCTTAATCATTGACACAGCCTTCTCTGCGGCATCATTGTTAATTGCGTAAATCGCTTAAAATCACTATATACGGGTAGGTAGTAAGTAATCCTTGGCTTTCCACCGACCGGCCGAAACATTTGGCCACCGGGCTACCAACGATCTGGAAAAGTTGGAATACCAGAGCAGGAGGTTCAACTGCCATATCTGATAATTACGTGTCTCACTTGACGAAAGGCACAGCATCTTCACTCATTCGTCACCGGTGAATGACAACAGCGTCGGTGAATACCACAGAAAACGTCGGCGAATACCACAGACGTCAGTGAATAACACCAACAACGTCAGTGAATACCACAGACAACAGCGTCGGCGAATACCAGACAACAGCGTTGGTGAACACCACACACAAACAACGTCGGTGAATACCACAGACAACGTCGGTGAGTGCCACAAACAACGTCAGTGAATAACACCAACAACGTCAGTGAATAACACCAACAACGTCAGTGAATAACACCAACGTCACCGAATACCACAGACAACAGCGTCGGTGAATACCAGACAACAGCGTTGGTGAATACCACAGACAACAACGTCGGTGAATACCACAGACAACGTCGGTGAGTGCACCAACAACGTCGGTGAGTGCCACCAACAACGTCGGTGAATATAATAGACAACAGCATCGGTGAATACCACAAACAGGGTCGGTGAATATCACACACAACAGTTTCGGTGAATACCACAGACCACAGAGTCGGTGAATACCACAGACAACAGTGTTGGTGAACAGCACAGACAAGCAGCGTCGGTGAATGCCACAGACAACAGCGTCGATGAATGCCACAAACAACGTCGGTGAATACCACAGACAACAGCGTCGGTGAATACCAGACAATATAGCGGTGCGAAGTCAGCACTCAAACAAGTGCGGTCACCGATAGGTGGCGCCAACGAGTGTTGTGATGTGACAGGAATTAGGTACCTATTGAGAATCGTGAGCGTCTCGAGAAGTTAGTGCATCGTTTTTATGTTGGGCAATAGTATAAGTGTTCTGTTTCACAAACAGATGATGACTAATGTAGCTATGGCTTGGCGGCTCAATAATATTATTCATATTAACGAGGCAGGAAAGCTACTGGCATGAAATGATATAGCTGTCCCGAGCCATGGCGTAGCTCCGTGATCCGACCCTCCCTGGTCGCGTTTTCCTGTCTGCCCAGCCCGGGCCCCGCAATCACCTCGACGCCGCTACCGATGCTTTACACGGGACCAGCGCAACCACCCAGCAGTGGTAGTCCCGGCCATCGGCCGCAATCAGCCGGTGGACAGCGCGAGGCCTGAGCTTGCAGGTGATTACGCTTGTGTCGCACTACGCGGTAGGCCGCACTACGCGGAGGCCGCACTACGCGGAGGTTGTGATGATGATGATGATTTGGGGTTTTTTTAGGGCGCATCGACTGCTGGTACGTCATGCAGCGCCCAGTGTTGTCAGCTGAAGAAAATAACAGGGCGAGTACTGCCATCTTTCTCTATCGTCGCCGAAGATAGTGACGTGCGCGACAGCAGGCGTCCGTGAATACCACAAGCAGGTCAGAAAATACTACCGACAACAGCGTAGATGAATACCACAGAAAATAGCGTCGACGAATACCACCGCAACAACGTCGGTGAATTACACAAACAACGTCGGCGAATACCACAGAAACAACATCGGTGAATACCACGACAACAACGTCGGTGAATTACGCAAATAACGTCGGTGAATTCCCACAGACAACCAGCGTCGGTTAATACCACCGACACCAACGTCCGTGAATACATAAATAACGTCGGCGAATACCAACAGACAACAGCGTCGGTGAATACCACCGACAACAACGCAGTGTGAATTACACAAACAACGTCGGCGAATACCACAGACAACAGCGTCGGTGAATACCACCGACAACCACGTCGGTGGAATTACACAAATAACGTCGGGCGAATACCACAGACAACGGGCGTCGGAGGAAATACCACCGCGTCAGTGAATTATACAAACAACGTCGGTGAATACCACAGACACAGGCGTCGTTGAATACCACTGACACAACGTCGGTGAATTACACAAACAACGTCGGCGAATACCACAGACAACAGCGTCGGTGAATTACACAAACAACGTCGGCGAGTACCACAGAAAACAACGTCGGTGAATACCACCGACAACAATGCCGGTGAATTACACAAACAACGTCAGCGAATACCACAAACAACAGCGTCGGAGCCGCGGCTACCCTCTGGAAGCCACGGAGCCCGAGACGGCAGTTCTGTCTGGTTCGATTTCGGGTGGCATCAGTGGTAGTGAAAAGGCGGCAGCGGCTTTGACGCTGTCGTCCTTGCCGGTGGTGAATGGGTCTGAAGATGTCACACCACTTGTCAACTCGAGACGACTGGATCTGACAGACGAGTTCCTTGGCCGGTGTTCCCACTTACTGATATTGGTACCAGCCGGTGGCGACGAATGTGAGCGTTAATGGCTCCGTTTCTAGCGTTCAAAAAGTTGTTTATGTCCATTTCTTAGCGTCATGCTGCGCCGCCCCCCCCCCCCCCGTCCTCAGAACAGAAATAGCTTGAAAGTACCAAATTTTGAGCCATTCGCATAATCGCTGAGCATGCATGCATTTTGAAAACAACACACCATCGAACTCGCCTTGAACCGGAGAACCAACCAGCTCTGAGCACCCACAGTATTCTCCAAAAACACCACCGAATTCGCCATGAGCCAGAGAACCAGACAGCTCTCAGCACCCAGTATTCTTTAAAAAAAAAATGAATTCGCCTTGGACCGGAGAGTCAGCCAGCTCTGAGCACCCACAGTATTCTATAAAAAAACACCACTGAATTCGCCTTGAACCGGAGAACCAGCCAGCTCCGAGCACCCACAGTGTTCTCCAAAAAATACCACCGAATTCGCCGTGAACCGGAGAATCAGCCAGCTCTGAGCACTCACAGTATTCTCAAAAAAAATCGCCACTGGATTCGCCTCGAACCAGAGAACCAGCCAGCTCCTGAACACCCACAGTACTCCAAAAACTCTTATAATGAAATACCCCAACGCGCGGTTCGGCACGGTTGCGCAGAACAAGCTGAAAACCAGCGGGCCAGTTATAGTACATGGTGCTCCCACAGGAAATGATCCTAAGTAGCCTATGAAACTCTATAACCTTATTTTCCCCACCTCCTAACAGCTTTCGATCACGATTAAGCCCGGGCGAAGCAGGCGCGCGAAGACAACTCTGCCGTACCTGGTGCAGCTTGAGGACGTTGAAGAGCTCCTGTGAGCGGCTGACCAGATC